ATTTGCATGGGAAATATTGAATGATTTTTACTTTGTTGCCAATTATGGAAATTACGCATATGCCGCCGATTACGTTGATTATAATAATCAGGTTTATTATCACCGATCGTTTCTGATTGGTATCATTTCCCTGTTTCCGGGTACTCCTGTCGCACGGCTACACGGAGAACAGGGTTGGTGCAACTTTGAGAGGAGGCTATGTTTTCAAAGTGCACTTTCGCTGTTCGTCCATTTTACTTTGGTGTCGGTTTTTAAAAGCTTCGTACACCAATTACATGAAGACGCTGAATGAAGATGGACAATTCCAAGTGGAGCAGACAGGCACACACTTTGTAAGGCAGAAAGGGTACCCACATTCGATACCACTCTCCTGGCAGAACCTGCGCAAATCGATTATAAGGAAGATAGCGGGCAGCCCACTTCGTTTTGAAACTTCGTTCATATTTTTCCTGGGCTATGGCTACCTCTCAAGAGGGCGGTGATTGGCTGGTTAGTGACCTCGCATGGCACGAAGCGGACAGCACTGCTAATTGGTTCACAGAGGATGAACCGTCAACTGTGCTGGACGAGCTCCAGCCGACGTAGGTTAAGCCCTGTCTGTTGTTTGACCGGCGAGTCGCTGTGTCAAGCGAATGCGAACAAGGTTAGCTCGGCACTGGACGAGTTCCAGTTGATGAATTCCCACTAGTCTTCGACCCTTGTCGACAAGCCGTTGGAGCACAACATGGTCAGCGAGCTCAGAACGGGCTGGACGAGTTCCTGCCGACCAGGTTCGATGCTGCTAACTTTTGATCCGATATGCCGACAGGCTGACCATGTCGCTGGACGAGTTCCAGCTGACCAGGCGAGAATGCTATTTCCCTTGTCTGTAAGGGACAGCCAGCCTAGCACGGTCTAGACGAGTTCCAGACCACCTGGTAGTTTTGTAGGAAGGTCACGGTGCGTTGCATCTGTGATCGGAGAGGGACGGATCCGAACGAGTTTCGGCCAGCCAGCTTCGAAACCTGTTCCCTTGCTTGTACCGATGACCGGCTCTAACATGGCAAGCTTGACAATCTAAGGGCGGCGCTGGACGAGTTCCAGCTCCTACGGTATTAACACTGTTCGCTATTTGTGCCGGTAAGGGTTTAGGCTGTCCATCGCATGCAGTGATTGAAGTAGGTGAAGGCAATGCTGATGACCAGTGGCTCTAAAGATAAGATGTCTGAGTTGGTGAAGGTCTCCAGGACTGTGCCTGGCTGTTCTGATTTGATGACTATATCGGAGTGGCAACCGAACACGAAAATGGCAGTTTACATGTCTATCAGGTATGGCTTTCTTCAGTTATGAACGACTTTCATTATTATACACAGAAACAGAACCCCGACCTTATGGGTTTACTAGCATGCTGCTAGTTACGGATACAGCAGCTGAGATATTTAATCCATTTTACTTTTTGACACCTGATTGAAGCGGCGTAATGGCACCATCCATGATATATGAGCACCTGCAGTGCAGGTGAGCACCTAGTGATGCGGTTCTACCTATACGCTATATGCATTCGAAACATAAGACTAAACCATCACAACCAGCGGCTCTAAGCCAAAGTTCTCCCCAAGCCGGCAGATGGTCTGCCAGAATACTTTGTTTGCCGTGTGCAAATTCGACTCCAACACCACACTGAATTTCTCCCAGGAATCAGCCTTGGCTTTTGCCACTGCTGTGGCTGCCGCCTTGCGTGCCTCGACATAT